TAACTTCAGCTATGTTTTGTATTAATTTCCTCGCAAAGTGTGGGCCCCGAAAGTTTTATGATTTTGTTTATTTTCAATGGTGGTGGAGGCGGCGAATGGGGTACATCCCCACTCTCCGCGCACCCGCCCTCGTCTCAATAGGACTTGATTTGATGAAATACTTTGTATAATCAATCATTTTGAACGTCAAGGGTTGATCTTTCTTTCCCCTTATAGGCGATTTCAATCCATAAACTGTGCCTTAGGTTCATGGTTTTATATTTGAGCTATCCTGTACTGTACATGCCCCGTCTTGTGCATTCAATAGAAATCTCAATTTAGTAAAACTGAGAATAGTTGATCATTCATTGATACCACTTGAATTATGATACAATACTTCATCATCGAAAGCGAATAAACAGTCCATGGTCCAATGGAATGATTCTTTAGAGAACTTGTGGGTATCTTGATGGACATAAGGCCTACGCTATTCAGTGCAATTGTAGGTCTACAAGACCGAATTAGACCATCCTTGAAAAAAATACAGCCCGCCCTCCAATTCGAGCCCACTTTTGTGTACCTGAAATTTGGGGTGATCTCGGGGTCCGGTCTCGAATTAGGCTATGTTCTCACACGGCAGCTAATGGTTTGCAGAAGCCGGATCCTGCTAACCGTTAGCTGCTGTGCGTCCATACGAGAAAATCCCAATCTGGATACCAAGAATATGATGATCGAATCACTGGCGCGCCAATAAGAAACTGGAAATTGTAAACGCGTACGTGGGATTGGTTGATGATAAAAACGCGCTCAACTTGCTAACCGTTATCGGTATCCGGATACTGCTAACGGTTAGCGCTAACCGATCTGGCGTTCTCACGCAGGTGCTAATGGTTAGCGCTAACGGTTAGCTCCCGATCCGGATACTAGGGCTCTCGTGAGAACCAGGCCTATATGTGTTTTTGAGGCCATGGAATTGGTTAGTGGTTACATAAAATTTTAATTACAGTGGTTGCATTTTTCATTCTATGGTGTTTTTTTTTTAGGCTTACGTATACCTGTAAATGTTGAAGTTTAATTTTCAAATTACACAGTATTTGTAAAAAAAAAACACTTTTATATTCAAATGTGGTCTTGAATTGGAGGTCATTTTGTCACTTGGTACATCCATAAAGGTGGTCTTGGTCTCGAATTACAGGGGTCTCATTATAGGGTGAGCTCAGTGTTAAAAGACAGTTGGTTAGTTAGGGCGGCCTGGAGTAAAATTGGGCAAAGGCAACATTTTTTATTATACCTAAACTAATCTTACAGAGGGCAATCCGACTAATGCCATCATCAGAAAAAATGTTATATTACAGATTAAAACTCCATACAAATTACCCAGGCCTACATAGAAGTTACGCAAAAGTCTGTTCTTATATTAATTCAGTTTTCATTAGGTTCGATGAATAGATTTCGATAGTTTATTTGTTTTTGTATAGGCCTATTTTACGGACATGCTGTGCAACCATTTTATTGGACGGTGCCTGCACCAAGAGAAGGGGTTTAAGCACCGCCCCTTCAGTCGGGACAAACCAATCCCCTCCCTCGCCAGACATGACAGTTCTTCGACCCAAAAAGACAATTAGTTCTCTTAGGGAGAAAAAATGCCCATAATTACGTGCAAAAACGCCTCAAACATAGCTTAAAATAGCTGAATTTTTAGTTTTCCTAGGTGCGTGTGGGTATAGCCCTGGTCCGATTGTAACTGGTGTCCTCAACAACCTAACTGGCCAAAAAACTTGCCAAACTTGGAAGATCTAGTAGTATTACGCATCAAATAGTTTCCAATCTGTATTTCCCTGATTCGAATAAAGTCCCGGGGCGTTTATTGTCGCGAAGGGTTTTTGAGCGGCGTTTAGATCAATTCTTCGGGGGAGGCGTCTATTTTTTACTGGGTAGGACTTACATTATACTCAAGTAAACGCCCCTTAATATATTTAATACAGTATATAACTACTATATTCGATGGAGGCGTTTATTCAAAATGAGGCTCTAGAGGGGAAGTTTATTCAAAGCGGGGCGTTTATTCGAATAAATATGGTAATTTAAAACAGGCCTACTGTAGGTCTAAATGTACAGTATAAAGAAAGATATTCTTTAGATTATACGCTTGTGGTGAATAGGCATGTAAATGATGATACATCAATATTCAAATTATAAAAAAAGGAAATGTTAACGATCCAAACAATTATCGTGCTATCACACTTATTTCGTGCTTATGTAAACTCTTTACTTCAATGTGAGAATCGTCTTGGAATTTCCTATTGGCTAAAAATTTTAACTATGGATTCCGACCGCCTTCCCTTTAAGTGCGATACGATAATATACAAAGTTGAGCACTGAATTTGGTTAAACGAATACTTTTCGAACACGGCCTCGGTTTCGCTTGTCTTAACCAATATTATTTCTGAAGAATTTGAAACCAGACAATTACTTGCAAAGTTTATTTACTGTTGTTAAATCGTCTCGCAAAATGACTCTTTATATTAATACTTTATTGACAACCAACTATAAAAAATGCGTAATTCTAATCCGCATTGGGTCCATCGATTACTTATAAACACTAGAAATGAAGCAGACCCAATTGTTTGCTGCCTTTGTGACGCTAACGATATATAAGACGAACATCATTTTTTTCATTTTCACAGGTTACGAAAAAGAAAGTCTATCTTGCCTTCTTTTGTCTGGTCAAATACAAATTATAATAAATTTCCAAGACTATTCAAAGATACTCAGTTACAGGTTCAGTTATCCAAGTTCCTTTACGTTGCTTTTAATATTAGAAACGAGAAAGCCGTAGCATAATAACATCTAAGTAAAACCGATCATTTTATTGCTATTGTTATTGTTATATTTATGCCCTTATGGGCCAGTGGCCTGATTGGTTGAATAAAGTCGGGTAGTTGCCCGAATGAATGAATGAATGAATGAATGAAGGCAAATATGTGTAAGTGTGGTCTGTTTAAAATGGAACTTCAAAAAAATTCACCCTGGCTACAGGCATGAGTAATTGAAATTTTGAATTAACAAATCATAAACCACATGATATTGTTTCTAAATACCGCTTTAATATAGAAAAAATATTCTTATACAAAAACACACGACTCCTGCCTCATTGATTTACCTTTGTTTGTGCAATGTCTTTGTTTGTAATTTTTGTAATTTTTCTGAGGCGAAATAAATGATATGATATGATATATGATATGACTGATTGTAGTTAAAATAACATATATTAATATTAATAGGCCTATAAGTGAACCTGAAAATTGCAATACAGATATATAGATATAGGAGATTAGACATTAATCATCAATAGGAAATGTTGGCCTGGTCCTGAATAGGGAAGCGAATCCCCATCTCATTAGCCAAATCTTTAATTAAACTAAATGCGTTCACTGCTATCACTGTGTAATTCGTTTTTTAAATTTTAAAATGTCAATTATTTATTTTGTTAGAATTTCTTTTTGATAATCAATCTTCTTATTTGGCATATACTTTTGATACCGAATTGATATTATAAACAATAATTGACCAGGTTAAAATCTTCGAAAGGAAGGGAATACAACCTCTTTATCCCTTGCAACTGCTTATGATGAAGTATATTATGGAACTAGAGAAGCCTAAACCAATAAATGTAGGTAAATCTTGGTTAATTAAATATAGGCATTTCAAATAAACATTCTCTTTACTTATACATACCGTTAATATTGAAGTAAACAAAATATACAAAATAATTTAAATATTGTATGGAATCGTCCCTTCATTAGGATTATACCAAGCTGGGAAATGTATAAACATACTGTATATGAAATGGAGATACTTTTCCATATCAAATATTAAAATAAGTATATAGCATGATTTACCAATTATTATTATTAACATTAACTTTTTGATGGATATTATAAACAATGGATGGATGGATATTATAAACAATAATTGACCAGGTTAAAACCTTCAAAGGGAAGGGAATACAACCTCTTTATCCCTTGCAACTGCTTATGAT